CTACAAAATGTTTCAGTAAATTTAACGTTCCGTTTAGAAGTTTCAAATTTTTGTTTCTGTTTTTTTTTTTTAATTCTCAATAAACATAGTTTAATATTCTGTTTTATTTTGAAATCAATAATAAAAGAAAAAATTATTTGATTATGTTAGGCAAAATCTGCTATTTACTAAAATCTCCCAAGTAAAATCTGCTATGTAATTTTATTTTTTTCACAAAACCAAAAATAACTCTCAGTGCCTATTTCAGACTTAGTAATAGTACATTGTTTACCGGGTAGGAAAAGCTTAACATTCCTGGACGACTGTAAAGATTGCTAAGTCGAGGCGCAAGCCGAGACTTAGCAACACAGAGTCCAGGAATGTGGCTTTTCCTACGAGGTAAACATACTATTTTTCCGCAAATCGTTTAAAATTCGACAGATATTGATTGATTTAAAAGAAACGCGATAATATTATTCCCAAATAAATGGTGCTTTGAAATTCCTAATAAAATTACTTGGGTTACTATGGAAACGTATTGAGGTTGAATTGTCAAACTTGACGCTTATAAATTTAATTGCTGGTGTTCTTGAAAGTAAAATGATAAGTGATGATGAAATTTCCATTCCTGGGACTCCTCCAGAGCTGGTTGAGGCAGTGAATACTGCTTCATTAGAATTATTGCCAAAGAAATCAAGAGAAAAGTACGAAAATGCATACAGACGTTTTATGGATTATCGCATGAGTAAAAATACGAGTTCTTTCTCAGAAAATGTTGTAATGGCATACTTCCTAGACCTTTGTTTAAAGATGAAATCTTCAACATTGTGGGCCAATTATTCAATGCTGAAGTCAACCCCTGCACTTAAACACAATGTAGATATATCTACATACTCAAAACTTCGTTCTTTATTAAAACGGCAAGCTCAAGGTAATAGGGCAAAGAAATCTAAGATTTTAACGAAGGAAGAAATTGAGAAATTTATCCAGGAAGCTCCAGATAAAGAAAATTTAATGATTAAGGTAATTTACAAGGTTTTAATTTCTATTTAGATTATAGCTTTATTTATTTTTTAGGTGGCTGTAATATTTGGTATTTCTGGGGTCTGTAGAATGGATGAGTTAGTCCGAATGACTGTACACGATATAGAAGACTTAGAATCTAAGCTTTTAATCAGCATACCTGATTCGAAAACCAGCAAACCAAGATCATTTGTAATTAATCAGATCTACTTGCATGTTTATCGAAAGTATGTTTCGTTAAGACCAGAAAATATGAACAGTGACCGATTTTTCTTTAAATATCAAAGCGGAAAGGGTTGTAGACAAATGGTAGGAATTCATCAATTTAAAAAAATGCCAAAAATAATTGCGACTTATTTGAACTTGGTAAATCCGACAGAATATACTGGTCACTGCTTTCGTCGGTCTTCTGCAACAATATTGGTTGACTCTGGTGCCGACATAACTAGTTTAAAGAGGCATGGCAGATGGAAGTCATCAAACGTTGCTGAAGGATATATCGAAGAATCGCTTAACAATAAGGTTGAGGTGGCAAATAAAATTTTCACAGTACAAAATATTCAACAAAATGACACTTCCACCCTGCATGTTGTCCAAAATGTTTCTCATAGTTGGAAGAGTGTTCCTCCAATGTTCAAATATTGTACTAACTGTCAAATTACTGTAAATATAACAAATTGATCTTAAAAATGTATTCAGCAATGACTTGATGTTTTCAAAATTATTAATTTATAATAATATTATATAAATTAATTCCTTATAAGCAATGTGTTTTCTATAATTTATGTAGAACACTAACAACTGTACGGAAATATCATTTCCTTACAGTAAGGAAGTCCTGACTTTTTCTTCAAGAAATTTTGACAGGAATGTGAAAATTTCCTTGCGATTTGCGGAAAAATACGTTTTTACATTAACCATATGATTATTTTACCTATCTTCCATAAACAACTATCTTACACAGCGTACAATTTTCAAACAACAGTTTTATGGCACAAATAAACATTAAACTTTAAACACCTGACACGCCTTCTACTTTTGCCAGTGCTTCTGCTGATCTACAGTTGGAAAATGCTGAAAGCTATCCAACCTTTTATCTTCAGCTGGCATTACAGCCCTATAATTTTGTAGTTTTTTTTTGTTGGAGGCTCTCTTTCTTCCTCTTCTTGATCACTATTAGTAAAACATTGTTTCGTAGGGACTGCCAGTAATGTTTCTGCAAGTTCCATTCGAAAGGATAGGAGATTATTTATCTTTTGTTTTGGAATATTATTCATTTCACAGTTAGCTCTATATTGCATTTAAGAATTTACCACCCAAAGATCCAAAAAGTGGATTATTTCTTTTAAGGTTCATTTTCTGGTTTTTATCCAGCTTTGGTAATATTCAAGTTACTGATCTACAATATATAACACCTTCCATACTCTCATTGTAATATTTAACAGTATGAGGACATGTTATTTCTACAATTTTTTTTTTAATTTTATACCACCTTATTCGACAATAAAACTACAGACTTTGAGTCCCTCCACTTAACGGCCACCATATTTTGTTCTTTGCAGCAAAATTGTTCACTTCGACCTCTCTGAAGACGATTATCTGGCACAAAGTTAACTTTGATTCGACTGTTCATTACGGTTCCAGTTCCATATATTTTTAGTTCACAAAGCTTATTTATTAATCGAGGTGTAGTAAAATACCCGTCAAAGTGCAAAAACGATCTTTCTGGCAATTATGTTGTTAACCTCAAGACTACAAAAGGTCCAAGTCCATATTCCGCATTTGAAAGAGGAGTTTGTTTTCTTTGGTATATCTCAAAATCAAGAACCACACCTTTTGATGAAGCAAGTACAAAATTTTTTAATTCTACTAGTCGTGGTTTGCCTTTTACATATTGACGTTAAGAGCACCGACCAGTAAAAGGGATCATCTGTTCGTCAATGCTGTAGTTGTTTATTGATCTTTCAATTTGAAGAGTTGCATTTCTTACCGCATCTATGACAGGTTGCACTTTCCATAGGGTGTTATTTTGATTCTCAGGGAGAGAATTTGTGTCAACAAAGTAAAGGCAGGTTCTCAGTTGCATAACCGTATCCCTGTGTAAAGCATCAGATATACTTGATATTTTAACCCATCTTTTCAATACCAGGATAAACGAGGATATCTAGTACAACCAAAGAGCAAAAATAGGCCCCGAACAGTTTTTTGATTTCAGCTGCTGTCGTATTTAATGCTTTTTCTTTTTTTGACAATGAATACGTATAAGAATATGACTGCTTGGTCAAAAATGTCGTTTGGAAAATATTTTAAAAGAGTTTCAATATTTCCGTGTTGGTTTGCTAACAAATTTTCTTTCTTTGGTTTATCCTTGACACTGGTAAAACAATCGGCTTTTGACCAAGAAAATTTTTGTTCTTCTTTTTTTTATTTTCATGATTTTGCTGTGGTTCATTTTCAAATTTCTATAGAATAGGTTCGTTTCTTACCAAGTTTTCATCTTTCGGCTGAATTTCCTGGTCGCTACTATCCCACTCATCATCGCTCTCTGCCAGAATCCCAGTAGGTTCCTGAGCCTCTGTCTGTCATGTAGGGTCAGCATCCGAATCGTTGCTAAAACCTTTTACCTCTGAGTCATCATCCTAAGAAGTTCTCGACATCGTTTTGCTTGTCCAAGAAATCTAAAATAAAAAAAACACAGTTAATCCCAACCTGCACAAATGTATAAGTAAAAATAGAAATTTAATTTTCTAACAAAACTTTGTTAAAATTTATCAAGAAAACACTGTAATTATGTAGCTAGACTAATATTAAATGTAATACACTGGTTTAAAAAACACAAGCTTCTTTACTATAAAAAACATACATTTTTGACGAAAACTTCGGTCTTCCGTCGTGAAGTACTAATTCATACTATCCCGTCAACCCAAAGGCACGTGGCCCAGACGTGATTCAAAGTTTTTCTGTGATACCTACACAATATCCTCGCTCGTTCGGACCGTTTAAAACTGCGCTGTACGTATACGAGGGTACGTTAAAAATAACCTACACAATTGTGTAGGTACGGGTGGAAAGGGATATATATATATATATATATATATATATATATATATATATATATATATATATATATATATATATAAGATTATTTTAAATTAGTCAAATAGTTATTATAACATAATAACAGCTCAATAATAGATCACTTGAAACTAGGTATATAAATACATAATTTACAGTAAAACGTTGCACAATATGCAAAAATACAATATCGTCGAAATGTATCCACAGACCTGTTCTTCTTCTTCACATGCCTTCTCCACCACCAAGGGTTGGCAAGCATTAATGATATCCTTACCGTTAAGGCCGCTGCTCAGAACATTATTATATTGAATTGCATCGGTCCAACCATTCTCTGAATTTCTCAACCAGGATATTCTTCTTTGTTCTATAATGCGTTTACCTTGAATCTTCCCCTGCATTATTAACTGTAGAATGTTGCATTTTTCACGGTGGTTTATGTGTCACAAAGTTTTTTCACTTTGACGGTATACAATATTTTATTTTCTTTATTTATGTTGCACACTCTATTTGTCCAAGATATTTTTAAAATTCTTCCGTGTATCCACATTTCAAAAGCTTTGAATTTATTCAGGGGACGTTTATTAGGAGTCCGTGACTCTGCACCATACAACAGAGCTGGAAAGACATAACATCATAGAATTAGTACTCTTAAAATCAGGCTTATATTATTTCTGCTACATGGTATTTGTTTCATGCTTTGGAATGCGCTTTTTCTTTTTCGATCCTTATTCGTATTTTTCTTAAATAGTCACGGTTTTATTTTTGTTTTGTCCTCAAATACCTATAGTTTTGTATTTGTAAATGGGCCTGCAAATTGTAAGTATTTTGAATGAATATACAATAATACAGTAAACAAATTGATAGTACCAAATAGATAATTCTAAGAGGATAATTACCAACTACATGTTGTATTGTTTCAGCAACCATACCTAGAAGTACCCAACCAAGTACAATAGCAGAAACACCGCCTAGTATCATGACTACTACGATGAATAACCAACCTCCCCCTCCAACTCCCTCTTCAATGGCACCTCCTAGTAATACTCTAATGAGTTCCCAGCAACCAGCAGTTATGCCACAATTTATTTTAGCGTCAGGTCAACTAGTCCAGGGAATTCAAGGGGCCCAGTTACTTATACCTACTTCTCAAGGTAATACTTTTGTTCTGAAATAACTTTAAAAAAAAAATAACAGAAAAGTATTCAGTAAAATGTTAAATGGATAAATTATCAGTTAACAATACATTATTTAGACCGGTGACTTTCGCGGCTGGTGTTTTGTAATTGTACATTGTTATTGGGGTTTATGGGTCGTGTCCTAAATTGTTTGATCTTGACATTTCATCTAGAACTGATACTGATACAGTAAGTTTTTGGTATCAATGTAGTGTTAATAATAATATTTTTGACTTCCTTTTTACTGGTCCAAAATTTGCAATACCGTAGGTACGTAGTGATTAAAGGCTATATATTTTTCTTGCTAACCTGCAAAATATTATTGATGATATCCCATGGACATCACAAGACCTTATTAGGGCCAATGCCACAAGTATAGTAACAAAATTTGTGCTTCGTTCTAAAAATAACAAACCATAATAAAACTAAAACTTTACTTTAATCTTATCCAGAACTACTTAGTTTAGAGTCTGATAAAAGTGGTTGTACTGTTGCTCTCAATAAGGATGACTATATTAGAAAAACTTAGTTGTTTCTTAATGACACTAACATATTTACGACTAGCTAAAGATCAAACATCATCAATGCAAACTTCATTCAATAATTTAAAAAAGAATAACTTACTGATCAACAGGCAAGAGAACGTACTGTCTAAAATTTTTCTTTTCTAAAACTCTAGTCTACCAAAAATTCATAAAGAAAATTTCCTTTTACCCCATAACTAGTTCAATAAACTCTGTTACTTATAATATATCCAAAGTTTTGTGTTGTCCAAACATTTTACAAAATATATTTGAAGATACGACAGATTTTAATGTTAAAGATACGTTCACATTTGTGAATAAGAATAGAGGTACAAAATTACCTGATAATTATGTATTATTCTCTTGAGATTTTCACTATTCACTAACATTCCGAAGGACTTGTATATTCAGGTATACTTCTAAAATGGGAACTAATAACACCTTACACAATCTTAACTAAAGTAAGTTTTTTGACATTGCTAAAATTCATTTCTAAAAATACCTACTTTTTATTTAACAACACGTTTTATCCTCAAATCTTTGGAACGCCCATGGGTAATATGGGTCGGATAAGTAATACATTGGCACTCATTGTTTTAGATTATCTAATAGAAAACACCAATTTATAGTAGGCACGTAATATTCTTGAAAAATTTACGGGAACAAGAGCGATTGGACAGTAGGGTTGATATCTAATTTTAAACATTTGATTTTAAACGTAAATGTAACAGTCGCATATCTTTTTTCGCATTTTCTATACAGTTTAAATAAAAAATATTTAAATATGGATGTTATCAACTTCTTATATACCTGAGTAGTAATAACACTAATCGATTCGACTGAACACAACGTATTGTAAAATAATACTACCTATATAAAAAAATTGTTAATAACAGTACCTAGTTATCCCATACAATATATATAGTGCATTTGTGTTCATAATGCTCAAGTATTAAAACTTCCTATTTGATCCCTAATAACTTTTGTGTTATTGTAATCAAGAAAGAATAGAGAATTCATTTTTTAAAATAAATACAGGGTGTTCTATTAAAGAACCACAACTTTGGTTTGACACCGTGTTAGAGAAGACTTAGCACCTCCATAATTTTCAAATGGGTAAGGGGTCTAAAACTTTTATTAACATTTTTTTATATATATTTAGCAGGTATTTTATAATAACGTAGCCAGTACTTTTATTATTTTAAATTAAATACTTTGTACCTTTTTGTTCCATTAAAAAGTGTGTTTTTACTCTGTTTTTAAAAATATATAAGCAAAAGAAGAATATCTACAATTATAATAAAAATAATGGTTTATCACTAATATCACTCGTATCTTCTAAATTTACATTTAGTTTGATTAATGCTGGTAAATATTTAACATAGTGTTTTTCCATTCCGATTACATATTTGATTACATTTTTCCAGTTGTATGTTGTTCCCTTCTAATTAGCTGGAAAATAGTAGACGAAAATTTAGGAGCCACGTTTCCTCTCCTGATATTTCCTTTAAGTTGAGCCCATATTAACTCTATTGGGTTCAATGTACAATAATATGGAGGACATCTAAGCATTCTGCTTTACTGCCCATTACTGCGGACACAGTTATCAACAAAATATTCCTTCTGATACTATCTATTATGAGCAACCTCCAACAATTGCTTTTTACTATATGATGCCTCAAAATACTCCTCAAATATACTTCTCAAATCTTCCTCAAATAAAACTTCCTGAATTTGTAATTTAATCCAATTTATATTTGGAATATTTCTTTCAAGGTAATTTCAAAAGAAGAGGTTTTTTAAACCGTTCAAACGTTTCAAACACGTTTATGTCTTTAAACCGTGATTCAAAAATTGAACTTTCCATATACTGATAGTAACCTGAAGAGGCGTCTTTAATTTTTTTTGCGGATATTAATAATACATCGTCGATCCATCCATTTTTCCCCACCGCAGTGTAAAATTATAATTGTTTGTCCTTTATTCGGGGGTACTAAATTAGGACACTTTTTGTTATTAATCGTCCAACTTTTTTTCACGGTGCCGTGTCATGAGTATCATACATGATCCAATATTTCGTTTCATTTTTCGATATTCAGTTATCTGTCTGATATAATTTTTTCTTAAAGAAATTATTCTAGTACTTTCCATTAGCGCCTCGCGCTTGTCTATAGTTTTGTACTTCAAATTATTGGTAATTGGTAAAAGAAATAATCGAAGTATTATTGCTGAACATGAGAGCATGTCCTTTCGAACAAATTCACTTCGAAGGCTTTTAATAGTTAGGAAAATGTTAACGACATACATTTTGTATCTTGTTCTGGTTATAGGTTCAATTAAGTGCGGTTCTATTTGTCTGAATTTGCCACAATCCTTTCTCCTTTGTATAAAAGAAGATGTTTCTTTCTTAATCTTGTAGCAGGTTGCTTTGGGCTTCTTCTTCTTCTTTGAGTGCCCCTCCTATCGGAGATTAGACATCATTATGGCGATTCTAATTTTATTTACTGCTGTTGCTTTGGGCACTCTGGTTAAAAAACATGTTTCTGCAACTGATTTCTACAGTTCAGACCACAGTCCTTTATACATTAGGCGTCATCAGAAAGGGATTGAATATGTCACTTACGTTTTACTACACAGCTTTTTAAATCTTCCATTGATTAGAGGGTTCCACTGGTTCTTCATCTGCAGAATTATTTCTGTGGCTGCGGACGTCACCTTTAAAAAGTATTGTAAAATGGTAAAAGAAGTTTAGAAATAACACTGATAAAGTCACCAAATTGACTTGCAGTTCTCTATTTGAATTTAACTAAACGCTGTTAATTTTATACTAAAAATACTCTTGTTTCACAAAATCTTATTTCAATGTTTTAAAAATACAAAATTATACCTACCTACCCAAGTGTAAAGCACTGGTCTGCTGAAACTTGATTTCTTCTGATAAACTACTTTATGATTTCGCTCGCTCAGGCAAATATTGTTATATCTTACCTGAAGGATGCATAAGTCTGCCAGTACAAGAAAACGCATTATGATTTGTCTTAATAGCGATATTCGATGTTTTCATTGGCTCTTGGTCTACGTGGGCTGATCAACAGTTGGATAAAAACGTCAGCTGGATGACTACCTGTATTTTCAAACATAATACCAGGCACATCTGAATTTAAATATCGGTGAGAATATTAAAACTTTGTATTATTATACATCCCAGTCACTCCTGGTAGGGTACTTTTATTTTATTTTTTATTGCTTGCTTTTATCTCAGATAAATAAATTTTTACACAGACTCACCGAAATACAAGGCAACTATATCTCCCATTTATACTAAGCGTCCTATATAAATTTTTCTATGCCGTACTAAAAGATCAGGTCGACACTATCTTAAATATATTTAACTCTTTTAATGACAAAATATAATTTACTGTTAAAAGACAAACTAACCATAGCGTAACCCTTCTTGGACCCTAAAGTAATCCGCACGGAAGACAATCATATAATACTAGATTGGTTCCAAGCACCTTCTGCATCAGGCCGATTTGTAAATTTTGCCCACCCACCCAAAAAAGCAGAAAAATATATGCGCTATTGCTGAGCACTTTATCAATACAGGTCATCATTTTGACTATACTAATGTTGAAATCCTACAAACAATAAGTAATTAGAAAAAAATTGTTTTTCGAAAGGTGTTATATTACCAAAACAAAAAATTTAATAAAGTTCAAAGCTGATACGAATGAGTAAGCAGCATCTACGGCAATTTTCTACAATCTATTTAATTCATTATTGATTTACGATGTAGGAACCTGTTTAACTTGTTTAACTGTGTACGATGTAATTTTTTTTTTGATATGTTTAACTTATTTTAAAATTGCCTGTCTAATTGTAAAAGCGTATTGCTAATGTTGGTCTTTTTCTTTGTGAATAGTTCCACCTTTGTGAGTAAATATTGATGTAATCTGATTTTAATGTTACTGATTTCTTTGTTTTAATAAATTTGTAGTGCACGTCTAATGAAGCCAACACAGTGGCGCACCGAGGGGGGTTTTGGGGTTAAACCCCCTCCCCAGGGCACTATTCCAACACATTGTTACTCACAAATTTTTTAAGGACTCAAATTCGGTGCCCAACTAACCCTCCCCCCACAGGAAAATTCTAGGTGCGCCACTGAGCCAACAACTAGTTGGTGAAATATGATATGATACATCATATTAATAGAATTATTTTAATTCCAAACGGACAAAACCTGAAATATACCAAAGGAAATTATTTTAAAGAGTATACAGTCGATACCGAAAAAAAAAATTTATAATGTGTATATTAATATATAAATCCAATTTTTAAATTGATTTATACCGCATAGACGGAATAATACTTTAAGATTGGAATAAATGAGAACAATCATATCATTAATTATACCAACTAAAAACAAAGATTACAAATTGAACGCCTAAATTCAAGGGTGAACAAATTAACGAGTCTCAACACGCGAGCTTAGTGATGACCTCTAATCTGATTATTCGGTTTTGTACTTAGAACAGCGTAAAAAATTGTTTAAAGTTTATTTCAGGATCAATTAAGTAAAGATGTTTAAAAAATAACGACTACCGTAGAAGTGGATACAGATCTTAAACGTCATCGTTATAAAAAAATTGGCAGGAACTTTTTATTATTTTTAATATAAACCAATATTATTTTTGGTATGATATTCAAAACTCGATTTTAGAGAACGTACAAAAGTCTTTGAAAACACCTATCATGTTGACAAAAAATGAATGGATGACACAAGAAATTCTAGACCTGATGGAAGTTCGACGGCAACACAAAAATAGAAATATTAGCGAATACCGTGAAATCAATAAACTCATAAAAAGAAAAATTAAGCAAGCCAAAGAATCCTGGCTTGAGAATTTATGTAAAGAAATAGAAGACCTCCAAAAAAAGCATGACAGTTTCAACCTACACAAGAAACTTAAATATACTGCCGGAATTGACAGAAAAATGTTCACGTACTTAAAAGCGCGGACGGAAAAATTTGTGATAACGAACAACAGTGCAAAGAAGGGGAAAGATACATCACTGACCTTTTTGACGATGCTTCTAGAGAAAATGCTCCAAATACTGCCTGTGGCAACCAGTTAGACAAAGGTCCCAGTATACTGAATTCGGAAGTCTAAAAGGCAATGCAGCAAGCCAAAAACAATAAAGCACCTGGACCAGATCAAATCCCTGCTGAGCTACTTAAACTTTTGGATAAGGAAAGCATTGCCTGCTTAACCACTTTCTTCAACAAAATTTACAACGAAGGAAAAATACCAGATGATTGGTTAGAGTCACTGTTTATACCATTACCTAAGAAAAGCAGGCCCACCAAATGCAGCGATTTTAGACTAATCAGTTTGATGAATCTCACACTCAAGATACTCTTACGAATTATACAAAACCGAATATTCCTTCTATGCGGAAGTAGGATGGGCAATTTAGATTTAGAAACGGTCTAGGAACTAGAGAGGCACTATTCTGTATGCGCGTTCTATTACAAAAAAGTTGTGAATTCCGAAAGAATGTTTATGTTTGTTTTATCGACTTCGAGAAGGCGTTCGACAGAGTACAACACGATACACTTTTCGATTGCCTACGGGCAGCAGGACTTGACCACTAAGATATAAAACTGCTAAAATACTTATATTACAATCAAGTAGCCTCTATCCAAATTGGACACAGTCCGACTAAAAAAATATCCATCAAACGTGGAGTACGGCAGGGTTGTGTTTTGTCGCCCACTCTTTTTAATCTGTACTCTGAAGAAATCTTTAGGAAAGCTTTGAATGACAGACAAGAGGGAGTAAGACTAGGTGGAGAAGTAATCAACAATATTATATACGCTGACGATATATCCATTCTTGCAGAAAATTTACAAGATCTCCAAACATTACTTAATCTAGTGAGTGAAGCAAGTTATTGGAGAGGTCTTAAAATCAACATTTCAAGGACAAAGTGGATGGCAGTGTGAAAGATCAATATAGATCAAGGTCTGATTTCTCTTAATGGAGAGGAGATCGAAAGGGTAAATCATTTCAAATATTTTGACAGCTGGTTAAATGTAAATTGTGACTCTGATGAAGAGATAATAGCCAGGATCTAAATATCACGTAAGGCTTTTATGACCTGGAAACCAGTTTTATGCAACAGAAACCTGTCGATGAATATTCATAAGAAGGTCCCGAAATGTTATGTGTGGTCCATCCTATTGTATGGTTGTGAGACATGGAGGTTAAAAACCACAATGCTAAACAAGTTAGAAGCATTCGAATTTTGGTGCTATAGACGAATGCTAAATATAGCGTGGGTTTCGCACGCTTCCAATGAAGATGTTCTTTAAATGATCAATTCAGAACGTCTCCTCATAAACATCATAAAGAGGAGAAAAACAGAATACTTCGGCCATATAATTTTTCTTTAAGTTCCATCTTTTATCGAAGCTTGGAAATTTGACTCTGTTGTCAATATCAGACTCTGTTGACTGCCGTTCTAAAAAGTTCTGCACTACTGCATTCAAACCATTCCCTTAAGTTCTTAAGCCAGGATATTCTTCGTCTTCCCACATTTCGCTTTCCTCGGATTTTGCCCTGCATAATAAGTTGTAATAATGCATATTTCTGCCCTCTCATCACATTGCCATATAATTAGAAGACCTAAATACCATCTACTTCGCCTTATAATACAAGGAAAAGTGGAAGGAAAGAGATGGATTGGTCGAAAGAAACTTTCATGGCTGCGTAATATTAGACAATGGTGTGGTTCCACAGTAGAAGAATTATTTCGCGCAGCAGCCGACAGAGAAAGGTTTTAGGAAATTGTAAACGTGATGACGGCCAACGTCTGAATACGGACACGGCACCCAAAGAAGAAGAAGAAGAATATTATTTTTAAAATAGATTTGTGCTGCAAAAGATTGTCCACACAACATTTTTTGTAGAACTCCAGCCCCTAGTGACATGTGTGTTCCAATGGAACAGTGGGACTCACATGTGCGAAAATCAAACCGGTCACACTCCGTAATGGAGTGGTACCTATCTGACCCCCAAGTTATAACCAACCACCCCTACCCATCGCAAGTCATAACGAATGAGGAAGCTTTGTACTGAAAGCTAATTTGAAAGCCCTGGGAAATTTGACTTCCTCTGTTTTACTTTATGTGTTTTTTTTTCTTGCTCAAAGTGGTGGAAAGACTTTATGTCTGAACTGCAGAACCGAAGGCTTCACAGAACAGTGTCGGATTCGAGTAAAAGGGTCCAATACTGGGCTCGCTACTAACTAAAAGAACCACCGCCGTATTCTCCAGAGAACGCCAAATGAAACCATCCTGTGTGGATATAACATCTCTTTGGCGCCTCCTAGACTTATACACTCACCTCTTTGCAGGAATTTCCTCGCAAACAATCTGCAAGGTATCAATAAGGTGTACCCCTGACGGGTACATATCACAACTCTCTACTATAAAAGGAACACTCGACGCTCTGGAAAAAAACCACGCACGCTCGAAGTCCTTACTCTCTACAAACACTCTGGGTACATTTAACTAGATTTAACCAGATTTAACTGGGCAATACCTCTCTTTGGTTACATATACACACACACAGACAGGACTACATATATGTGTAAATATAAATAAAATATTGTATAAATAAATAAACATATTACTTTATGTGGTTAAGCCAACTGATGATAGAGGTAGCTAGTAATTATTGTATATAATATCATACGAAAGATAATTTTGCCGGCAATATTTTCGGCTGGTAGGAAAGTTTGCTGCCTGGTAATTTTCACGAATTAAATTTTGACAGCTAAATCACGAGACGGTAGTCGAGTATTTTATCAAAATTTCATAAGCCAAAGTTGCCAAAAGGCAACAAACTTGAATAAAACCAGTAGAAAATTTTACTGGTAAATAATTTTCTCTCGAATGATATTCGACAAGACTATGTCTCGAGACAATTAATGCACCATATCAACAAAACATAATCTTTACATATTTGTTAAACAACAATATTAAATGTGCAATTATTATAAGCTATAGTAGTTTGCCATTCTTTTCTACTATCGAAGCATGATTCTGTGTATTATTGACCTGTAGCATTTGGGAACTCAAAGATTCAGCTTCATTTGTTGTTCTTAGATTTTCGATCAACAATGTGAATTAGAGTCCTAGGTGACTTGGTACGTCGGTATATCTCCCAAAAATTTTCGCACGCATCTGGATGTCGAAAGTAGTACAGCTTTCTGCATGATCTTATATAGATGTTCATTTAGACCCAGCTTTTTTATGTTTTCTAGGAGGTTCTTCGGAATGACTCTAGTGGTAAAAAGAATAATAGGTATACTCTGGGTACTTTCCATTCTCCCTTGTCTCCTTATTTGTATTTTTAGATGTCTATACTTGGCGATCTTTTCGTCTTACTTAACACGCAGATTATTGTTGTTAGGTATCGCCACATTGATTAGAGTTGTTTGTCTTGTTAGTTTATTAACTAGCACGAGATGTGGGCTATTATGTGCTACAGTTTGGTCTGTGAGCACAGTGCGATCCCAGTATAGCTTGTAGTTTTCATTCTCAAGCATACTCTCAGGAACTTATTGATAATATAGGAGATGGTTTGTTTGTTAGAAGTCTAAGTTTAAAAGCTATCTCTTAATGGAGAATCTTCCCTACTGAGTCATGCCGTTCCTTATATTCAGTTGCAGCAAATGCCTGGCAGCCTCTGGTAAGATGTTGGATAGTTTCTTGGGCTTGACATCCATATCGGCATTTGTCGTTTTGGACCTGGGGGTCTTTGACGATATATTTTAGGTAATTTTTGGTTGGTATAACCTGATCCTGAATCGAGAGTAATGAACCTTCTGTTTCAGGGAACATCTTTCCTAATGTCAGCCAATAGTTCGACGGTATATTGTCGACATACCCTTGACAGACTTCATTCGGATGTCGCCCGTGCTGAGGTTTACCCATCCAGATGCGCATTTTTTCGTTCTTAGTAAGATGGTTTATGCGCATTTCTTGTTTCCTCAGTTTGATCGGTGTTGTGTCATCTACTGCGCAAATCGCGCGATGAAGAGTAGATGTTTCCGCCTACACCTGAAAATAAGTTCTTAAATTAGTAATCTGTTTTTCTAATTGCTTGCTTATATCAATAAGTCCTCGTCCTCCTAAATACCGCGGTAATGTCGTTCTGTCTACTGCACTTCGAGGATGGTGTTTTTGTGCCTTTGTGAGGTGTGTTCTCACTTTTCTCTGAATAGATTTATATCCGTTTTAGTCCACTTAATAATCCCAAATGAGTAGCTAAGCGCGGAAAATGCGTAGGTGTTAAATGCCTTAAACAAATTTTTAGTATTAAGATGTGAGCGGAGTAGCTGTTTTACCCTTCGTATGAACTTTGATGTTAATTCGATTTTCATTTGTTTATGGTCAATTTTCCGCACTTGCTTTACTCCCAGATATTTATACATGTCATTTTCGCCCATAGCCTCGATGTTTTGGCCATTTTGCATATCGAATCCCCCGGGCTGAACCTTTCCCTTGACTATATTTAATACACGACATTTGTCTAACCCAAAGTGTTGGGTGTTGTTTTCATTTGAAAACGTTTCTACAGTTTTTAGCATCTGATCTAAGTGATTTCGAGTGGAAGCCATTAGTTTCAAACTATCCATATACAACAGATGATCAAGCTTCGCCACTATAGTGTTGTTGTTTTTAATGCTAAAACCTGACTCAGTGGAGTTTAATTGCTGAGATGGTGGGTTCATCGCTAGACAGAACCACAAGGGACTCAGCGAGTCTCCTTGGAATAGGCCGCGGTGAATTGTGATATATTCCGTTTCGATATTGTTTTCACCAGATATCTGGAGGTAAATTTTAGTCTTCCAATCTGTAATTATATGTCTTAAGAAGGTCACTATATTATCATCGACTTTATATATTCTTAATATATCTACCAGCCATTCATGCTGTACTGAGACTGAGTCGATAAGTTGTTCTTTTCAACCCATGGTGCCCTTAGCGCATCCTTTCTGTTGAGATACTATGATATTGTTTAGAGCGCAGTGCTGGTAGATACGCTGGGCTACACAGGGTGTGACCAATTTATACAGAGTTGGAAGACACGTAATTGGGCGGTACTTGGCTGTATCTTGGGTTTTATTTTGATCCTTCGGTATTAAATAAGTTGTTTTCTGAGTTAGGAATGATGGTATTTCCTGCGGATTAGAAATAACACGAATAATTAATGTTGACAGCCAGACAGACAGACAGTTTTGAACTCCGTCTGATCCAGGAGATTTCCAGTTATGAAGCTCTTTCATGATATCAGAAACTTCTTCTGTGGTAAAGGGTTCATAGACAGTTGTGCGGTAGTGTTGACAGCTGTGCGTCGTATCTTCTATCTATCCAACATTGGTGTTAAGAGCAGTTGGTGTGGAAAGTTCATTTCCCCAAAACTCCTGAATATCTTCTTGGCTTGGGTACGATTTATTGACAGTGGAGTTAAGTTTCCGATAGTATATCGGATATATAAACGGAGAGTTTTTGTTTTAAAGTATCCAGGCACTGATGGGCTGTGATGCTTACTGCATCATATTGCGAGTGTGTTGCAGTGATTGGTTTATTATTATGTTTTTCACGACCATCCATTTTGGGCACAGGACTTCCTGGACTTACACAGGACTTACAATACAATATTATTTATTCTACCTCTAGATCGGTGAAGAACATGAACGGACATAAATTCGGATTTACATAATTTGATGGTTTCTGTATTGACAGTGACATAGTATTCCACACTGTATTGTCTTTCAGACACTGACATTTTTTTTTTTTTTCGAATAATGTTTTTTATTACAAATTTTAATGCATCCACATAGTAATGAATTTTGAATGAAAGGACCTAAGATTCCAGAATTGTGTCAATTCTGGACAAACAAAGTCTGGTAGTCCAATTTTTCGAGCTCCCATCACTTTGTTTGTGATTTCACTATTATATTCTATCCCCTTATTACGTTTTACTTTTCTTTGGTTTTTTTGTATTCAGAATATTTTTGTTTTCGCCAACGAAATGATTTTTCTTACATTTTCGCCTATTACGTTTTCTAGATTATTGCGTTTGAAAATGTTTTCACTCGAAAGATTTTACGAATCGTCCTGAAAAAGAAAATATTATTTTCAATGTGCTATATAATGACAAGTTACACTAAATTTTACACGATAAGGTTAACAAAGAAAAATGTACTACAAAAATAAGTAAAAATCATAATAATACATAACTTATTATAATAATAGTTGTTGCCATTCTTATTATTTTTACAAATTCGCACAATAAAAAAGGAAAATGTTGTCGTAAAATAGTTATTAAAATATTTAAAAGGTAGAAGTAGATAAGCCACATTTCAAAAAAAATATGCTTACCATTGAATCTGGATCTGGATCATAGTTTGGATCTTGATTACTATCATCTAATGGTGGAATACTCTGTCCATCATTATAGCTATTTATGCTATCTAGTTGCTTCATATTTTCACAAAAAACGCCGTTTCTATCGTCACAGGTTGTCAAGGGCGAGTAGGCGGCGGCCATATTAGAGAGTGGCTTGTCACTATCTGCATAAAATATTTCACAGAAACACCACTGTGCAATATAATAATACCGTTACTGTACTGCCATCTGTGAATTGATTGCGGAACTACTTAACCTGTAGCTTAGCATTATATTTTTTAACAGATTAATGCAAATATTTGTAATAACAATAATTCTTTTAGCACTCAATTTGCTTTATTGAAGTTATGATTTTAGATACATATTTTTTGGTTTTTTGTCATATTTTTCATTCTCCTCTTTTGTGAGATTTAAAAATGTAATCATATTTATTGGCAAATTACCTGGTTTGTTTACCTACATTTGATACGAAAATATTAAAAAATTTTATGGTAAATTTTGATTTTTATTAACTTTCTACGATCACTTTATTCTTATGAATTACATTTCCAAATATATGTTGAATTCAATAATATTTTTGAGTAAGTTAAATGTTATGTAACAAATCTATTCGTCTATTACAGGTTTAGCAACCCAAACTATTCTGACAATCCCAGTTAACCATGTAAATAGTTCGGACCAGATGGTTAATCTGGCACTAAATAATGGACAAGTGATGCAGACATCTTTAGCCAATTTGCAAGCCATGGCTCAAACTAATTTATTAACTAATCCCACTAATCCAGGTAAGATCAATAAATCTATTTTGTGTACGGGTAGCCTCAAAAACTTTTTCTATTTTCACCGTATCTCAATCATAGATGTATATTTCAACTGTTATTTGTATTAATCGAGACTGTTCCAGTGAAGGGTTCTAAAAGGATTTTAATAAAGTGAATTATTTTCAAATAAGTATAATTGCATAAAATATAGAAAAATTGGAGTGCAAATTGGGGTGACGATCAGGTTTTTTGGCTAAAAATAATATGCCGCTACATATAAACTGACATACAAAATTGTAATATAAGTTTTTTATTTTTAGAGTTTGTTTGTTTAGTTTGTAATTATATATTGTAGTTATACAGTGTGTCTACTTAACTTGGAACCATGTGGGAAACTTTTTTATTATTAATTTTACGAAGAAAAGTTATTCTTCATAAAAATCGCTGCATGGTCTAAAACCTAATATACAATTATCAGATATCAAATTTTATCAAACCTATACGAGGTATGTCAAAAAATATGAATTTCACTGAGGAGTAAAGTACCTTTATATTTCACAATATCCAAAAATTATTATTATAAAAAGTTGTATAATTAAAAACTATGTCTGAATATGCAATTATATACATCCTTCCAATTGAAAAAAACGTTTTCAAATTTTTCTCAAATTACGGATACCCAACATCATTTTTATTTATAAATAGGCCAATCTTCCGTTTCGATAAAAAATGATAAGCAGATTTTCACAAAACAAAATAAAAAACAGTTAACCCTTATTTATTTTGTTAAAATAACTCTATTCTAGAGTGTTGTAAATATTGTTAAGAGTTGTAATTAATTATGAACTATCTTCTTCTCTTTCTGTCTCTTTATAAGCAACTCTGTTTGTTCATTGGCGAATTAATATCTCTATGGAAGGTTGCCTTCACTCCATTTTTTGCGCTGTCGTCCGATACTTCTTCTGTCGATTGGTGACTTATCTCTTGCTTTTTTGACGACACGGATCTCCTCCACTCTGCTTATGTGGTAATTCCATTCTTTTTTTCTATTTTTTCTCCATTCATTTGTAACCTGTACGTTACATTTTCTTCTAATGTCTTCACTTCTCTGTTAATCAGCGTATTTCCTGTAATTCTTTTCAGTACTCTCCTCGCTTGTTCAACCTTATTATGGATAAAATAATAAAAAAAGTAAGAACTAAAAAACGGATACCAAATGGAAGAAAAACGACCTAAAATAAGCTGCTATACAGACTATGTAATACTACTCTCTCAAAGTGAAGATGATTTACAACGTATACTGCACCAATTTATAACTTCCAGAAAATTTAAGCCCCAGGCCTACGACCTAATTACTGGAGAATTACTAAAATATCTGCCTCGCAAAGTCATAGTAAAATTAACCAACTTAATGCTGCTTTTAGATTAAGATATGTCCCAAATTTATGAAAAATAACTCAGGTAATAATGATACCAAACCAGGGAATTTACCAACAGAAATCTCTTCTTACAGCCAATATCACTCTTACCAGTAATGTCAAAGCTGTTCAAGAAACTCTTGCTAAAAAGAATGAAATCGATAATAGAATAGAAAAAACTGCTTCGAAATCACCAATTTGGCTTCAGAAATAAACACCCTACTATTGATCAAGTACATAGAATTACTAACATAATTGAGAAATCGTTAAAGGAAAAGAAAGTCTGCTCTACGATATTTTTAGACGTAGGTAAGGCATTCAATAAAGTATGGCAGGAAGGTTTACTGTATAAACTGAAATACTTTGTGCCTAGACATTATTCAGAAATTCTACAGTCATAAATATCTGATAGATACTTCAGAGTCAACAAGAAGACGTTTACACAAATTTAAAAGAAATTAAAGCAGGAGTCTCCCAAGCAAGTGTATTAGGTCCGGTCCTTTACGTGTTATATACATACCTGAACTAGAAAATGGTGCTATAGCAACCTTTGCAGATGATACTGCCATTCTAGCAGTAGGTGATACCGGTGATGCATCTTGATTTTTAATGCATCTTGATATCGATTTTTTTCCTTCAAGTTAATACAAATTTTATTAAATATTGATTTCACGCTTGGAGCTGTCATTCAAAATCGTCGGTTGCTTCAAGCGTTGTTTCTGAGAGAACAGTTCATTCTACGCAAAAAGTACCAATAAACATTTTTGTTCAGAGTTATCTCAGATACATTTTTTACTTGAAACATTTTTTCTACGACGTACAGATTCTTGGTTACTCGATTTTTTTGCGTTTTTAACCACCTACGAGGGGAATTTTAGAGGGAACCCCTGGGGTAAAAGTAGTAAACTTTTTTGTATCTTTTTTGGGATTCCAAAATTGATATTTTTGACAAAATTTGGCTTGTTCGTATAATTTTTAGGGGTCAAATCTATGATGACTAGACTATTATTACAAATATGACAACTGTTCGATTTATATAAAAAATAATAAGCAAATTTTCACAGAACAAAATAAATAAGAGTTAATTACTCTATTCTAGAGTCTCATACATATTGTTAAGAGTTGTAAACAATTATAAAATATAGTTTAGCTAACCCTACATCTTTTTTATACAGTGCGTTTTTTGTAATTGAACTATAAGTAATTTTATTCGTTGATGGAGGTTATATTAACTTAAAAAAGAAATTCACTTGATTTATATTGCACTCTAATAAATAAAAAAAATTATATTTTTCAGTACCTCCAACATCAAATGGGACGATAAATCCAAACCTCCTTAATCCCGCCACTCTAACCCACCTTCTCTCTAACGGCTCCGCACAGCAGCTACTTCAGTCGCTTCCCCAGCTTCTCAGCAACCACCATCACACAAACCCTAATCCCTCACCTTTAATAAACCCCCTAACTCAACCGATACATCCCAATCGATCACCTCTACTGAACAGTTCGCCCATGTTAAATTCATCTCCTCCTCAATCAAGCCAAACCCGAAACCAAATAAACGTGCCGAATATGGGTTCATCGCCATTATCATCAGTTCCTTTGGGTTCCACGTCGATGGGTACTGCTCCGAGTCATTTAGTAACAAGTCAGAGTAGTCACTATGTAGATACTAAAATGCATGGAACTAATTTAGGCAACATTCCGAGAAATCCGTCACCAGGAGATAATAATTGTAGAATTAATGGAGAAATTAGTATTAATACCAACCATGGAAATGTTTCTAGTCAAGCCATGAAGAGGTCGCCAAGCTCTCTTTCGCCCAATTGTACTGACAATTCCACTGCTGACTTACTAGTTGATTCACCAAGTGAGTATGGCGTACTTTTATCTTATATTTTTATGTAGTTTTAGAATGACATAATATTAAACTTTACTTGTATGCAATTGTTTCCAAAACGTCAAAATAAAAGTTGTAGTTTGATTAAAATTGGTAAAAAATATTAAAATATCTATAATCTATCTAAATCAATTAAAGCCTCCGATAATTCGTTTATCTATACGACGCTATATTTTTTGCAATTGATTTAACTGCAACTAATGTTTTCAACTGACTAAACAGAGACACACAGAGCGTCCCGTCAACAATAATGTTTCTAACACGGCTAAATCGACTAAAACGGAAACACTGTTTTCAACATTTCTTTTCACTGATCACTAATTACTGCTACTAATAAAACCCCTTTACGTTGTAGTTCATTTTAACCCTTTTTTTGAACATAATTAATAGCCTATTTTTACAGACCAATATTGCTTTTAGATAGTTTCATATTAAGTTAAGTTTCATATTAAATTTCTGATTTGAAATTAGTAATGCCCTCAATCGTTATAACACTAAAGGGTGTTTCAAATAGGTTTGCCATAAATTAAGTCACGCATTCCGGGGACTAAAATAAATCAATTGAATCCAACTTATCTTGGTACAGCCAAAAAAGTTACAGCTCTTTGAAGTTACAAAATAAAAATTGTTTTTTTGTATTATATTCTAAACTACTTGACATTTTGTAATAAAAATGGACACGTTACTATCTTGTAAAAGCATTTTTCATACAAAAGAAACAACAAAATCTAAGGCACAGAAAAATTTTAAGGAAGGTGTGCAGCCCTAAATCCCCTAAAACTTTTAAGTGCGTTAAAGTCAAATGAATTTTGTGGCAGTTTAACACAATATTTTTAAAAATTTTTGCCTCCTATCACTTTTTTCAAAAAACAGTTTTTATTGAGTTACGGCCCTTTTCATTAACCTTTAAAAACTTACGTGCAACTAAATAAATGGCTTAAACGAATTAACAAGTACAAAAAATGTCTATAACCTCTTCTTCTTCAAGTGCCATCTCCGAGGCGGAGGTCGGTAATCATCATAGCTATTCGGATTTTTGAGACGGCTGCTCTGAAAAGTTTATTTGATGTACATCCGTACCACTCTCTCAGGTTGCGCAGCTACGACATTCTACGCCTCCCTATGCTTCTCTTTCCTTGGACCTTTCCCTGCATAATCTGTTGGAGCAAGGTGTATTTCTCTTTACGTATAATATGTCCGAGATATTCTAATTTTCTTGTTTTTGTTGTATTTAAAATATAAATATATAATACCTCTATAACTATGATATTAAAATAAATGTTTAAAATATTTTAACGTCATATTTTTCTGACGAAATTGATTTCCAGCTTCAATTATTCTAACACTCAATTATTGTTGTTCGTCTTCTATTGTTACAGAGTACACTTTCTCTTTCATAAACCCCCAAAAGTAAAAGTCCATGGGGTTAAGACCTGGACTTCTGGGTGGCCAAGAAATAGGTGCGTCACCACGACTTCCAATTCATCGACAAAGATACTGCCTGCAAAGGTATTCCCGGACTTCATTACTGTAATGCGGTGGAGCGCCATCGTGTAGAAACCACATATTTTGCCTTATTGTAATATTCACTTTTTCCAAAGACTCTTGTAAATCCTTTGCCAAGAACTGCAAATAATTATGACCATTTAAATTGTTGGGAAGAAATCGGGGAGTTCGGTCCAAATGTGCTGGTTATGATGGTTTGTTATTCCATTTCTACTGAAGGTAGCCTCGTCGGTAAACAAAATATTTCTAATAAAATTAACATTTCGGGTGTTTTCCATTAACAACCAATCGCAAAATCCAATCCTCTAAGGATAATCTTCAACCGATAACTCTTGAACCGTTGTTAAGTGATAGGGTTTAAGCAGCTGATCCTTCAAACGCCTTCAAACCCTTACATGAGAACATTTAGTTGAGCAGCTATTACCCTTGTACTTGTTGCAGGACCTTATTCAATGATTTCTAGAATGTCTTCATCAGTTGCATCCATTATTGGACGACCACTATTGCCAGCAACTTGCAGTTAGAATGTACCCGTTTCCCGTAAACGACGATCAATGGTCAGAAATAATCGTCTATCGGGAGTATTTCGATTGGAGTATTTTACTGCATAACTCCTTGCAGCTGCTGCAATATTTCCTTGACATTTACCTACGATATTCACGATAGTTTATTGAAATCATAATTTAATCTGATCCAACTTACCCAAAGTTAAATGCATATCTGCCATTTCCTGAAATGTATAGGCCATTGTAATATTAAAATTGTTAATATTAATCTTATTCACAGAATAAATGATAGCTTCAAATTATCGACTATTATTGATCGAACTGTTTGAAATTATTATATCCGTAGAAACTTATTGTAATTTTATGCTCAACTAGGAAAAAACTAGTTTTCGAAAAAGTGATTAAAAGCAAAAAGTTTTAAAAATAATGTGTTAAACTAATGATGCCACAAAATTCATTTGATTTGAACGTACTCAAAAGTTTGAGGGGATTTAGGGCTGCACACCCCCCTTAAAATTTTTCTGTGCCTTAGATTTTGTTGTTTCTTTTGTATGAAAAATGCTTTTAAAACAAGAAAGTATCGTGTCCATTTGTATTACAAAATATCAAGTAGTTTAGAAGATAATGCAAAAAAAAACAATTTTTATTTTGTAACTTCAAAGGGCTGTAACTTTTTTTGTGTACACTTTTGTACAAGGGTAAGTTGGATTCAATTGATTTATTTTTGTCTCCGGAATGCGTGATTTAATTTATGACATACCTTTTTAAAACACCCTGTACAACAGCCGTATTTCCTTATATTAATATTTATAATTGATTTACACGACTTAAATAATATCAATATATACACGTATGTTTTTATATTTGTACATCAATATGTTCTTTAAAAAGAAATTTTATTTATTCTTAGATGTTCATTTATATTCATATTTTATTATTGTATAGATATGAGCTGGGAAATAGATCAGCTACGTGATGTATTGTGAGGATAATGTAGTGTCTTTTTATTCTGATCGATGTCCTAACCACTTTTCCTAGATTTCTGGAATGATCCGGATAATTAGATGACATAATCTGGAATCACAAATGAACAACTATATATCACAAGATATATTACCGTTGGTCAAAAGACAACCACAAAAAGCGCAGTAAATAAAAGTGTCTATCAGGTTTGTAGCTGAACCTTGAAGGGGCCAATAAAAGCGGGCCAAGAATAGGTACCTAAGTAAAAAATCGAGGGCAATATGTTATACGATAAGAGGAAAAATGAAGATTAAATACATGAGAAATAAAAATAAGAAAATATATGGAGAATTATAAAAAAGAAAAAAGTTGGAGTATGTAACGAGTCCGTCACTTCAATAATCCTTTAAACATTTTTAAATACAATTTTAAAATTCAAATCCTCTTAATGATTTTCTTAACTTTGAATTTCTAAGTCGGTAGTAAACAGCGACCCCAGCGGCTGTTTTATGCAGGCATGCCTATCCGACTAAGAATTAACAATTAGCGCGCATTCTGGTCTTAACTCTAGCCAAAGGAAGTTCGCTGAACTAAGATAAGTAGGCGGCAAACAGCTGTGCTAAATTTGTTTTAAGAAAAAATTTTTTTTTTGGGAAAAATATGAGAAAATTTTAGTTGTTTTTAGTGTATACCATTTGAGTTATAGCCACTCTTTAGCCGCCTACCTCCGAAGTTAGTCCAGAATCAAGAATTAATCATTTTAATTTTATTGGGAATTATATGAGAAAAGAAATTGATTTGTTCCCTACTGGGTTTACACCTTTGCCATCGCCCTGACCTGTTCCATCCGAGGTACAGACCTCATATAAGCCTTCCCGGATAACTTCAGGGAACCAGTTGGAAAGACCGCCTTAGAGTGTGGAACACAGCTAATTTTATCAAGTTTTGTTTTTCAATTTTAATAATTTTTATATACTGTATTTGTTTTTCAATTTTAATAACTTTTCTATACCATTCTTTTTTTTTTTTGTTTAACTTTAAATACTCATACTTTGACTAATAATATACCCCCGTCATTTTTTTAAACTAATTTTAAATAACGTTTAAGGACTAATTGTCAATTACAGGTTGAGTTTTTAAATACTCCCTTATAACTCAGTTGTACGGTTTTATGTGTACGAATTTAATCAGAGAGTGTACACATTTATTGGTATTTTATTATTATATATTTAAACCTTTGGACATCTATCCCTTCAGGATAGTGTCCTCATTACTTTATTAGAACATTTCGTTGAAAGCCGAAGTACAGAGGTACATTTCTGAGGCAAGTAAATTACCTTTTTAGGTCAAATCATTAAAATTTTTCCTATATCTTATTATTTGTAAATTTAGATCATCAAGGATCAGTTGTGTATAACCAGGGAACTTATTTTTTGTATATAATTAACTAGGTTGACTTTACATAATTGGTGGTGGGTAATTTAGGGTAAACTTAGACTCTATATATTTGGATAGGGATTAAATTTTTGGTGAAAACTAAATATTTCAATTAATACTTGTTTCCCTTTTTATTTCAGCAAACAGTTGTACAAGATACCTTGGAAAGTTTATGTTAATACTTTCGTGGCGCCCACTCACATTTTGGAGCCATTTCTATAATCACTTTTATTTACATTGGTTTTATACCTATAGATTGTTTATTACCTTGTCATTCATTTTCTTATTCTACGGTCTCTGTAGGGCATGCAAATTGGACGAATCCTCTTTTGAGTGTCAAGTAGTCACTCTCCGGCACCTTCTGCTAGCCAGCTTTAAATTATATGTTATCTTTTACATTACCCCAAATACTTGTGTTACATTACACATACACACTTTTACTACATTGGCGTCCTAAACCTCGCAGTCCATACATTTTTTTTTGTTACAAGTAATCGAGAAATACTTTTAAACCTTTTCGATTATATACTGTATACACAAATGTTTTAACAAGTCTTCGTATTGTATCGTGACGATAATTACTAGAAAAAATTAACTCCATTAAGTCTAATCAGTTGCTAATAAAATTAAGGACATTTGTAATAATCAAACACCAATTTCCTTTTGTGGTGTATCTCGAAAAGAATTAATTCATTTTATCGTCTTGCAATTGGTTTAATTGACACAATGGGCCTAAGTGGTGATTACCATAATAGAAGAAGAAGAATACAAATAAATCTATTACTCAATTTATGTAACAATAACGTCAGTATGCTAACTTCAAACATATCATTGTTAATGTTAATAATTTATTAATCATGGCATTAAAATTAATAGACGAGAAATATTGTTTGCTATTTTTAGATACACATATTGTTAGTCGGTTGCTTAGTTGGTGCCATTTTTTACTATCTTATAATGTTTCATGAATCACATACACTTGATGTTATTTAAAGGCGTGATATTCTTTAATTCAAGTAATAAAACGTTTAATTCCTATACAGGGTATCCCGTTAAAAATGGGACATAACGTAAGGGAAGATTCTCTATTTTAAAATACGAAGTTTAGGTAAAATGTTGCCTGTTTCCAAAATCTTATTTTCAAATGCATTGTTCTTTAAAAACATTGGCGAACAGTCGCACGATACTTTCAAGTCATTGTCGTTTGGATTGTGGTAGTTGTGTGTAGTTGTTTGGACGTTCTGGGAGTCCTGTTTTTGGTGAACATGCCACCTCTTCAGGACGTGTTTTGTTTTATGGATCTCAGCACTAGTTTTTGGTTGTTGGTTCTGGTGGTGTTCTGCAGAAAAGGGCGTTTTCGGAGAGTCTTCAGTGGAAGAAGGGCTTGGTAACGGTTCTTTTCAGAATTAGGTTGGTGACTGAATTTGTTTATAAATTTTGGCTCTAATGTTTGCATTAAGGATATCTGTGGTTATTATCCCCCTACAAGTATAATTATGAAAATGGAATCAAGAAACCACAGAACACGGGCCTCTCCTTGACCGTGTGCAAAGCTCTATGTGTATTATCTATGTCTAGGGTAAAAAGAGATATTGCCATAAGAGTTTCAATGTGTTCATCAGGAAGTTCGTTGTTGCAGAGGTCAGCAGTTTTGTGGGTAGGAAAGGGAGTTTTCCCGAACCTCCATTAGAGAAGGCCTAACCTAACCTAAACTAATGAAGAAGATATAGAAATACTCATAATAATTCCCGGCGATAGTTTGTCGCGAAGATAAGATAATCGACTACGGCTGATCATGAAAAGATCGAGCTGTAATCAACCCTCCTATGAGATTAACAGTTATATATTGTAACATTTATTTTTATTTCATTATTACTCGCCGATTCATACTTTAACTTTTTGTCTTCTATAGACATTTTAATCAGTGCAGACACATTTTGGAATCTTTTATGCGTTGGTCAAATTAAGGTATCACATAGTCAAACAACTTTACACAAAACCAAGCTTGGTTGGATTGTATCCGGTCCTATACCCCTTCTTTCTCGTAACAAGACAAATTATAACCTTTCTAGCAATAAAAATCTCGAAAATCAGTTACAGAAATTCAGGGAACTTAAAGAATTTTAAAAAACAAAGTTATTTTCTGAAGAAGAACTTCAATGTGAGAAACACTTTAAATAAACTACTTCCTTTGATTCTACAGGCCGGTTCATTGTCTCTCTTCTTTTAAAGTTACCTCTATCAAATCTTGATAATTCTGGGATTTCAGCTACCAAACGTTTTTTCTCTTTGGAAAAGAAATTAAACTCTAATTCAACTTTAAAAACAAATTACACTCAATTCATCAGTGAATACTTATCTTTGAATCATATGACTAAACTTCATTCAAATTCAGTATCTCATCCAGACTTTTTTCTCCCTCATCATTTCGTTTACAAAGGTAACAATATCCGTGCCGTAGTTGACGGATTTGCTAAAACTGAGACTGGCTTTTCTTTAAACGATATACTCATGGTAGGTCCTACACTACAAGACGATCTTTTCACTAATATTTTACATTTTCGAAAACACAAATTTGTTTTAACTGCTGATATGGTTAAAATGTATCGACAAATTCTTATAAAAGGAAATCAGCGTTATTTACAAAAAATATTGTGGCGATCTGATCCAAATTCATATATTAAGACCTATACTTTAAATACTGTAACTTATAGCACTGCTTCTACCAGCTTTTTGGCAACACGATATGTGCAAGAAGTAACTCACATCTATGCTAACAAATTTCCTGATATTTCGTCTTTTTTCCATCATCTATCGTCATTTTCCATGATTCCATTATTTTACGCGATTTTTACGTGGATGATCTCCATACCGGTGCTTCCACCTTAGACGAACTTAAACATTCAAAAGCCATTCAAAATATGGCTTTCATTTAATTAAATGAAAATCAAATTCAACCGAATTAAAAATGGATGATATAGATAACAGTCCTCTGTGGAAATAAGTTCCAATAAAACTGTCAAATCATTGGGTCCCTTTTGGAAACCCAAATTAGCCACCTACTTACCTCCTGCAAACAGTTCTAAGGTTACTAAAAGACACATTCTTTCTGCAAATTTAAGGATATTTGATCCTCTTGGTTTTCTAGTAGTAGTTACAATAACCGCTAAGATCATTCTACAAGACTTGCGACGTGGCGTCTAAAAATTTCCTGGGTTGAAGTTGTATCCATGGATATTCATACAAAATGGTCAAATTATTAATCTCAATTAGTCAATCCTTATAAATTACAATTTTCTAGACATATTACTGTTTCCAATTTTACATTCCTATACTTACATGCGTCTTTCCTACACTTACATGCGTACATTTTAAGATGCGTCTACTGCAGCATATAGTGCTTGTATTTTTAGTCGTTCCTTAAATGCTCACGGAAATACAAGTTGTCATTTACTTTTTGCGAAAACCAGGGTAACTCTTTTGAAACATATTCTTACAGTTCCTCGACATGAACTTTCTGGAGCCCTACTTTTATCTTAATTGATAGACAAAGTAAAGCAGTCGCTACAAATTAATTTTGATAAAATTTTTTATTGGTGTGATTCGGGAATTGTTCTGGCATTTATCAATACAGCTCCCAATTTGTTAAAACCTTTTGTTGCAAATAGGATTTTACAGATTCAATCCTTGACTAATTCTAATTCCTTGAGATATATAAACACACATAAAAATCCTGCAGATTTATTGGCACGTGGTATTTTACCCAGGGCACTACAAAATTCTGATCTATGTTTTCATGGTCCTAGATGGCTTTCATTGCCTGAAAGTTTCTGGCCTCATCAACCCTTTAAACAGGTTAAAATCCCTGAACTTGGATCTACTGTTAATCTATCCGCAAGAATTTGCATGAATCTCGACATTGTTAACAAAATTTCTTCCTTAAATAAATTACATTGAATTGTAGCCTATATATTACGTTTTAGCAAAAATTCCAGGCTAACCATGCCAGAAAGATCCTTTAACGATTTAACATGAGAAAATTGCATGTTCTCTGATTTGTCTTATTCGCATTGTGCAAAATCAATCTTTATCTGATGATCTCACCAATCTCAAAAAACATGGCGAGGTCGATCATACAAGCAAACTTCTCACGCTGTATCCTTTTCTTGTTCCAGATGAATAATTCGAGTTAGTGGAAGAATTTACAATGCTGCCATCTCGTACGAGAGAAAGCATCCCATCGTTATTCCACAAAAATATCATTTTACAGATATACTTGTATGATATGAGTCCACATGCTGGTCCACAGCTACTTTTATCTTCCTTGCGAGAGACATATTGACCTTTCAATGGACGCTATGTCGTTAGAAAGGTTGTTAAAAACTGTATCACATCTTTCAAGTCAGCTCCAAAACTCGAAACTTATTTAATGGGTAATCTACCTTCTTCACGTCTTATTCCTTCACGGCCCTTTACCCACTGGGGACTTGATTATGCGGGACCCTTTCCTTTAAAGGATCATCTTACAAGAAACTATAAGACTATTAAGGGTTATGTAGCACCTTGGCACCTTTTATTTGTCTAGTCACAAAGGTCATACACTTGGAGGTTGTCAGCAGTCTGACTACGGAATGCTTTATAGCAGCTTTAAGACGTTTTACTTCTCGACGGGGTAAATGCACCTTTAAAGGTGCCAATGAACTTTCCAACTTTCTCAAGACTAACAATTCTCACTTACATTCAGTGACGAAATTGTGCGTAGCGTAACGCTAAAAACAAACTCTGTCGTATACAAAGGTTGTGAAATTATGTGTGCCACCGACCGAAAATCAACTTTAGTTTTTTTGTGTTTTGATAAACTTTACAATTTCAGCTCAATATTGACTTATGGAATTTATACATTTGGGTTTTTGAACCCTCTTATGGCGTTCAAAGGGGACGGCTTATATTAAAACCTAAATGATGTGACGACGCCCCTGTCGTCTTTTTCAAAATTTGATCCCGGTGATAGTTTGTCCCGAAGATAAGATAATCGGCCACAGCTGATCGTGAAAATATTTAGCTGAAATCAACGCTCCTGTGGGAAAAGATATGATGTTTCAAAACGTCGGACTAACAACATGTGTTAACAGTCATATGTTGTAACATTTATGTTTATTTCATTATTACAAACAATTAAGTTTTTTTTTATAATTTTACATTTACGTTTACATAGAAGTATTAAACAGTTTTATTTACGATCTTGAGCTTTTGACTAAAAACATGGGAAATACTTGTATATTCATACCATTATAACCTTCAAAAATGTAGTAATATCATTATATAAAAGTAAAAAACGAGATAAAAATACATCAAAACGTTGTCTAAAATAAAAAATACAACATTCATATTTTTTTAGATCAACCCACCATAAACCAAACAAATTCCAACGTTGTAGACGGTATAAACTTGGACGAAATCAAAGATTTTGCCAAAGCTTTCAAACTAAGACGGTTATCTCTAGGTCTAACTCAAACACAAGTGGGACAGGCTCTTAGCGTAACGGAAGGACCAGCTTACAGTCAGAGTGCTATATGCAGGTAGGACAATCAATTTTTTCTAATAAGATTGATAAGATTTAACTTCAAATACGTGTTTATATTTTTATTTAAAAAATTTCCTTTATAAAAAATATTAATAAAAAAAAACCTATTTATTGGACCACAAAACGTTTTCGGAATAACTATTCCATCATCAGTGCTATCCTAAAATAAGAATAACCACTTTATTTAAATCAAAAGTCAAACTTAAAATTTTGACCAAGGTTATTAGAAAGTATGGTTAATACTTACTGTATGTACCAGCTACATGTAAGCCACCAAATATGTGGCCAAAAAAGTTTAAAGTGTTCTTAGATTAACTTTGAATTATATATATATATATATATATATATATATATATATATATAGTACAAGTTGTTTACAACTGTCGTTGTTTTCCTGTCCCTAGTTTCCATAGTGTCGGCTTCATTTAGCTGTCTTCCTTCCATGGCTTCATTCACGTCATCTCGCCAGCTTCTTCTTGGACGCCCTCTTTTCCTTCTTTCGGTTGGGATCCATTTTAATATTTTCTTTGGCCACCTCTCGTTTGCCATTCTGTTTACATGACCGAACCAAGTTAGTTGTTTTTTTTTTGGACTTCATCTATAATGTCTTTTTCTTGCTCCATTCTACGTTTTATTTCTTCATTGGGGATTCTGTCCATCCTTGTCAATCTACAGCTTCTTCTCATAACATTTATCTCGGTAGCTTGTAATTTTTTCCTGTTTCTTTTACTAGTGTCCCATATCTCTGCTCCGTATGTTACCACCGGCTCAACCATCGTCTTATATATTCGTTTTTTCGTCGTTCTTGTGATTTTTTTATCCCAGAGAATGGAATTTAGGCATTTGGTAATGTTACTGCCTTTGTTTATTCTTGTATTTATTTCTTCATGGCTATTTCCGTCTTTTGTAAATACTACTCCTAGGTATTTTACTCTATTTGTTCCTTTGATTTTGTCACTCTCCAGTGTCAGGTCTTCGACTGTATTTTCCCCACTGTAGTCCCCACTGGAGTCCACATTCTTCGTACGCTGTTTGTAGTTTCCTAACCATATAGCTGAGATCGTCTATATCTTCTGCTACCACCAGTTGGTCATCAGCGAAGAATAGTGTATAGAGAATATCCTCATCTATTTGTATTCCCATATTTCTGCATTGTCTTTGCCACTTTTGTAGAGATCGATCCAGATATATTTTAAACAGCGTAGGTGATAAACAACATCCCTGTCGTAGCCCTTTCGTAGTGTTGAATTTCTCATTAAGTTTGCCACCTATTTTAATTGATAACTTTGAATTAGATCTTTGATATTTAAAAAATATGATGTTTATGTCATAAGAGGAATTCCTTTTATAACTTAAACTTTTAAATTTCTTTTATAACTTAAACTCCTAGTTCCTAAATATCAAAGATGTGATTCAAAAGTAATCTAACTACATTTAAAGGGTTTCTTCCCACATACTTAGTGGCTTCAAACATGTACATCCAGTAAGTATTAACCACACTTTTGTAATAGCCTTGGTCAAAATTGTAACTTTCACATTTCCTTTAATTAAAGTGGTTATACTTATTTAAGGATAGCACTGATGATAAAATAGTTATTTTGAAAACGTTCTGTGATGTAGCCCGATAGGGTTTTTTATTAATATACCTTGTATAAAGGAAATTAAAAAAAAATTGTGATGCATGGTATACAGCCAACTACAGGAATTTATTTTCCTTGTGAATGTTTATATTTATTCAATTTAATGTAATACTATACGAGTATTAGTAGATTACACAACGAGGTAATAATAATAAATGTTATTTCTGTGGAAAATTTATGAACCGCGCCATGTTGGCGGTGAGGTAATATTATTCCGAGAGAATAATAGCCGTTATTTTGTTCTATTTTATCTTCAACTAATTTCTAAGTTTTAAATGTTTTGATAAACAACTTTATTTGTCAATAATATTAAAGTTAGTAATATTACAATAAATCAATTAAATCGATTGTTATTTCTCATTAACTTTGGAAGAGTTTTCAATACAGATATTTGGAAATTCGGTTGCTGCAATTTAGATTGCTGTAATAGATAAGCTTTCCAGTACTTGTCATAGTCCACATATGGGTACTGTATCGTAAGCTTTCGTCAAGTCCACAAATAATAGATGAGTTGGTCTTTCCATAACCACTCCTTTTTTATTTATTTGGGTTAAAGTGTACATGTAGTTGATGCAAGATCGACCAACTCAAAATCCTGCTTGCTGTTCCAGCTCAAGTGGTTCATATTAGTTTTCGACTAAGGTTTTAATAACTTTTCCGCACAATCTACTTAGAATGCTGGTAACTGAGATGCAGCAGTAGTTCTAGCAATCTGCTTGACCCCCTTTTTTATGGATCGTATAATCCATCCTTCTTTTCAGCTTTCAGGTATATTGTTTCAGTTTATCTGGTCCATAGGCTCTTTTATTTTTTATGATTTTTATAAGTTTTGCAGTGAGGTCGTCTCGGATGCTAATTTCTTATCCACGAATTTGGTTTCTTCTAGATATTTGTTGAAATTATTCAGGTATGGACTCTCATTACTAGTTACTTTTAAATACATTTATGTTGTTTGTTTATAGGTTTGTTGTATTTATGTCCCCCCTAACCATATTTGGTTTATATATTTTATAACCATTTTTTTTTTAATTCTGTGTTGATTGCATTATTGGATTTTGTCGCCTAACTTTTAAGATGTAAGCCATTTATGATACGCATCACTCCATAATATGCTTTTATTTGTTTGTCGTTAGGTTCGCTTTTCTTTTCCCAAGGCTTTATATGTAGCTCACATTAATTATACTATTATGAGCACATAAAGCATATTTTTGTCGTGGTTTACATATGCACAATTAAGTCCCTAGTCTAGTCCATTCTGAAATAGTTTTTATGTGCGATCATAGTATAGGCTGTTTATATTAAACTTTGTTTCCCTTTCAGTTGCTTTGTAGTTTTCGGTGGAGATTTTATTATTTTTATGATTCTAGAAAATTTGAGCTCGAGATTTCTGTAATGATACGATCCACATGTTATACTTCTGTATACTCGCATGTCTTGTATTTTCACTTCTGATGTTTGCCTTACTATAATTTAGTCAATAATTGATTTTAATTGCCTTGTGTCCTGAGTGTGATTCACTTGCCTTTTTTATTTGCTTCTTTAATGACAGATATCGATATTGTTTGTTGTTCAAGACCTTTAGTAACGTCTTCTGTTTTACCTGGCCAGTTCTGTACGTTTCATGCTAAAAATTTGTTGTCCTCTTTTCGAGGGCCAGGTAATTTTTTCTCAGGGTGTTCTTCCTATATACCGATTGTCTTTGAGGACTTCGGAAAACAATCTTTCCATTAACAATCTTTTGTTTTCGGGACTAGGGTTTAGAATCTCGTCTTCTCTACCCGCCGTTTATCTTGCGGTTTATACACTGTTTATACTTCCTCTTCTTCTTCGTGCGACTAGGATTACTCCTGTTTGTCTGCCTCTTATTATATTTTAATCTTTATTGCCTGTACATTATCTTTTCACCTTTTTGGCGGCCTTCCAACGCGTCTTCTGCTATATGGTTTGTTGTTTTTACAGATGTTCACTAATCTATCTGGCCCCATTCGGTATACATGTTCGTTCCAATTTTTTTTTCTTGTTTTTATCCACCTGTTAATATTTTGAATTTTGCATTGTTCGCGTATACTTCTGTTGGTTTGTCTGTCTCTTAATAATATGCCCGCTATTGATCTTAATACTGTCATTTCGATATTGTTGATTTGTTGTTTCGTCTTTCTTGTATCGGTCTTTATCTCCGCTGCATATGTAGGATTGGTCTTACTGTTGTCTTGTATACTTTCATTTTGCTTTCCGTGGTCAGATATTTGTTTCTCCATATGGTTTCTCGAATTCAACTACTTACTCTTGCCCCTTTTAATGCTTGCCTTGTGGTCTCTTTTCTTATATTCCTGTCACTAGTGATCTCTATTCCTGGATAATTGAATTTTATTACTTGTTCTACAATTTTGCCTTCTATTTCTAGTATGCATCTACGCGGCTCTTTACTGATTTACATTTAGTTTTTTCTACTGATATTCTCATATTAAGTTTGTTTGCTGTGATATTGAAGGTGTGGAGCTGCCTTTATAGGTCATCTTCGTATTAATTAGTAATTAGTACTGCATCATTGGCATAGTATAGTATCGTGATTTTATGAGCTCCCATATGGTATCCGTGTCATTTTCTTACTTCGTGAATTATTTGATTCATCACCATATTGAATAACAATGGGCTGAGCGAGTCTCCTTGGCGGATTTCTCCTTTAAGTTCGATGCATTCTGTTTCTCCTGTTGGCATTATAACTCTGGTCTTATTGTTCTTGTTAATTTTATTAATTGTCCTTAGTATCTGATGGTCTATTTGTTTAGCTTGTAATAAATTAAAGATGTCATTTCGCTTCACCTTCTAAAAAGCACTTTTTAAATCTACAAAACACATGTATGCTGGTTTTCCATATTCAATAGACTTTTCTATTATTTGTCTAATAATAAAAATTGCGTCTATTGTGCTGCGGTTCTTCCGGAAGCCTTGTTGTTCATCTACTATGTTCGCTTTTTCCTCGATTTTATCTTTTATGACTGCCGTTAACAATTTTAATGTAGCTACTATTCATCATACTAATGCCTCTATAATTTTCAGAATTTTTCGAGTTTCCCTTATTAAGTATCGGTAGCAGGAAACTTTTCTTCCATTCCGCTGGTACTACTTTGGTATTTACTATATCGACGAAAAATTTTAGGAGCCGTTTGCGTAGTGTTGTTCCTCCATATTTTACTATTTCGTTGTTTATCTTATCAGAACCAGGTGTTTTTATGTTTTTTAATTTTTTTATTCTAATATCTCTATCGTGAGTTTCGTTAATGATTATTTCTCTGTTCTCTTCTTCTCCTTCTCCATATAATTTCGTGAAATGCTCAGTCCATTGTTCCTCCGT